TTTTTCCCTTATACACAAAACATTCTGCCAATCAGATTTTTCTTACTTGATCTATTTAGTTAAATTACTCCATCTCTTGTGTTTTTTTACAACATATCAACTGTATGACCTTGTTTAACAGTCAATTCATATGCAATGGATGTTTTTAAATTTCAGCGTTTATCACTTTTCAGCCTTATTTGTTTCTGTAGTTAACGAGATGCCGGAACTTAGTAGTTTGTGATACTGAATAAAATTATTAAAAGGATCAAATTCTATGACTCCAATATGTTTTTGATTTTTTGTCCTTTGTTTTAGGCATAGGATTTTCCTATGGTTAGTTTTTCATGACTATTCTCTTCTTTGTTTTTTCATTTCCTAGTCTTTATTCTCTTCGTGTGTCCCTGTTTGCTATATGCGGTTTTGTAAAATTTGAGGACTTGAACGAACGAAATTTATTTGTGTTTAAGTTAATAACGATAATACATAAAAATTTCATAACTGACTTTTAGTCGGTCTAAAATGTATTTCCCAAAATTATGTCAACTGCAGGAAATTTCACTAAAACCACATTCCTATGTAAAAAATAGATTCAGGTAGCTTTTTTATTTTGTAGCTTGAACGTTTATCATAAAGTGATTTATGTAAGAAACGCCCACTGCTTCATTGTATATAGTTTGTCAGTTGTTCGATGCTATCTGATATAGTTTCTTAGAAAAATCATTGTACTTAAATAAACTATAAATATTTGGGTAACTATAAATACACGTTATGTACAAGATTATATTCTGATGTTTCACTAGGTAGTTTAATTCCTTTTCCAAAATACTATTTGATTAAAAAAGAGTTCTGAATAACCTGACGAACTACAAATTTCATTTAGAAAATGTGAAGTTCATTCTAATTATATCAAATTGTCCAGCTACATTAAATTCAATCATTCAATTCTAATAGAAAATTTCGTATAAAATTGTTGTGATTGATCAATTGATGAAGTAATGAAATTTCAGTTGAGATGGCTGGGACACGTGTTACATATGCCCAAACACCGACTGCCCCGACGTGCGATGTTTTCTGGTGTAGGAGAAGGTTGGAAGAAAGCTAGGGGCGGCCAGAACAAAACATGGCACAAATCCATGAAGTCACTGACAAGTGGACTGAGCCATGTTGGTAGGTGTAGACTACCTAGTTGGAACCCGCGAGATGATAGCAACCGATGGTTAGAGATCTTGAATGACATGGCTCAAAATCATTTGCAATGACGCAGGTGCATCCACTCTTTGTGTTCTCCCAAATTCTAATCTTCTGAATTCGTCATGTCCTTTATTTTCTTTCCAGAATTATTTCACTGTTTTATACTCTCTAAATAACATCTCCAAACACTAATGTTTCCGATTACTGCTTATACTCTTACTACCTGTACCACTACGGGATTTGAATCGACCACTACATCTCTGTGCTAATGTGGTGTGGCAACTCGAACTGATGTACGTACGTACGAAGTTCCACGTTGTTATTGACTGACTGATTGATTGATCAAATATATTTATTTTTTTCGCAAATACGTTACGTTTCAGCCTTTTTTTTTCTTCAATAAATTATGAGTATGTTGTATGTTATTTAACGTACAGTCGATTAAATGAACCTAATTGTCTTTATTATAAACATTGTCATTTCATAGATTATGAAAATGCTTTTTGTTTGTAGGTTTGGTTGAGTTTACACATATATGAAATAGAGATAATTACACTTTATTATGTTATGCTGGTCGGCGGCCTATGCTCCATTAGGAGTAACAGGCGTAAGTAAGTAAGTAAGTAATGTTATGCACATTGATTAGTTAGTCGAAAATGCTAGTACAATTTATATTTTAGCTTTTAAGATGAGTTTCATGTATAGAGGTTGAGTAAGAACAGATTAAACGCATTTCACTAGATTTTTTGAATCTAAATCTAAATTACGGAAAATCAGAGTTTATCTGTTTTATGATATAAAATCTGTGTATCGAATAATAACTTTCAAACCAGTTGTAACACAAATGAAAACTTGTCACCATAAAGCAATTTGTTTTATTTTAGCTAGTAAGTAATGTCTGTGGTTTTCGAAACATTAGTTCGACCAAAGTTTACTTTCGAATTCCATATATCAGTATTACGTTTGCCAATAAACATTAGACTATTCTTGAATATTGTTTCATTGTGATTCATAGTGTAACTTTATTCTCAAGTATGTATTTATCAAAATAATTGTTTCATCATACTTTCCTTTTCTACATAGAAAAAAATAGGGAGTATAGTGTATACGCATGTGTTCGTATAAATATCGTCCAGGCATCAGTTTCTCAAATTCTAGTACCGAAGAAATATTTACTTGGTGCGAAGCTTAAGGGGGAACAGAACAATTAGAAAAGATACCGAAAGAAGGTATTCGATTCCAGGACCTTCGGTCGCGAACACTTAAACTCTATACCACCTAGCTAGCATCCAACAGTATTGATACCAAACTTAGACCAATCCATGATATTGCGCGGCCGTCTTCAGAATCGTGGGTGCGCACTGTTGAAAAGTTCCATACTAGGACGGAACAGCTGTCCAATGCCTTCAGTTTTTCAATGGCGGTCTAACATGATCGTTTTATGATCTCAATCGGAACTCAAAAATCTCTACAACCACATACTAATAATTAGAAAAGAGTTTATGTTAAATAGAAATTTATTGAACTCTAGCGAATTGTATCAATTGTTTAAAACAGAAATATAGACTATATTTATCGTATAGTTACCAATGTTTCTTCAGAATTTAGGCATTAGATACTTGATGGTTAAAGCATTCCTTTGAAATTAAAATTATCTGGTGTCATCAACTTCATGTTTCTCAGGATAAAAAGAAACGTTTTGCAAAAGTTTTTTGAAAATTCACAAAGTTAGATGAAACATTTCAACCCAACTGGTTATAAACAAAGTGTATTTTATGTAGATGAAGATAATTTATTGTTATGAAGTATATGTTACACATTTAAGACAATGTTCATACTACGACAAAAGGAATATTTATAAGCTAATTAATTTTAGGCACTTCACTATTTTGATCTTAAAGTAATTCTAAAGATATTAGAAATTAGACTGACTGATTTTTTTAATACGAAGTTATTACTTAATTAGTGCTTGGAATTTTGTTTAGGTCCACCGATTATGAATGCTAGAAGTTACATCTGTTGAATTAAACTTTGTTTATGTTGTGACTTTAAATGCGGCTAGTTATCATGTAATTTGTTCGTCAATCGAAATACGAATTATTCATTCTTGTACTGTACTAAACCAATGACGTTCGACCGGTCTGATCAGCCTAGCGTCCTTATTGGTCCTTTGCTCCACTAGCCCGTCTCGTTAAGTCCAGAACACCAAAACAGCTTCCGCTATGCGAATCATTTATTTCAGACATACTTGGTTTATATACCAGCCAAACAGACCGCATCGCATCATATAATAGGAAATAGCATTTATACAAAATAAAGCCAAAAAGTGGCTGTGAACGTGGGAGACGATAATTAATAAACTGAACATAACTTAAGAGCAGTAAATCGTATAATAATAATCTATAAGCCAAAATTAGGCTTATAATAAGGGGAATATAGATATACATAATCTAATTACTGAATAGTTATACCACAAGAATATATATATATATAATATTAGTCCATTAGTAGGTCTCAGAAGTTACTTGTAATTTAATCTTCGCTAGGATATAACAGTTTATATGATTACACTCATCCTGAGACACTTTTTTGAGCATTGTTTGTAGTTTTCTTGTCGTTTTATTTTCTTCAAATATGCAAAGAAACGATCAAGTCCATAATTATGTTATATTTGTTTTGTCGTTTTGTTTTATTCTGTCAAACGTTACTGAGTTTTCTCCCAATGGTTACTTAAGTCGCATCTTTCGTAGTTTGGAGGTTTCACACATTCTGTAACTGGAATATACTTGTTTTGTTGTCTACATGAATCAAATAAAAATCTTGTTTTTTTATATCAAAAGACGATAATCCATCAAGCCAGATTGTTCTTGCTAACTCTTATCAGTATAATGTATCTACGAATGGAAGGTAAATTATTGTAAGAAATAGAGTTTTGACCAATCAATTCTCCCGTTACATACTGTGAATGAGTGCTGTTAGGTGCAGAAATTAGTAAGATTCTTCATTCACTACTTAACTCTCTTCTTGTCAATGAGTTCCAGATGCCAGCTACTTATACCGTTCGGAAGTATATTCTGTGCTATCTTTATTGTAGTATCTACAGTAATTGTTACACTGTAAACATTAAGATAATAATATAACACGTATCTTTTTTATTGGTCAGACTATTTTTTTTAAACTTGACAGTAATGAAAGTTGCCTTACTGGGTTGTTGACTAAATGGTTGTTGCGTTATCATATGATGTAAACTATGCAGTCGGTATACCACTCAACTAAATAAGCACAATGACCGACAAGCTAGATTTTAATTATCCCTCAATAATCCTCACCCTTAGACTAACGGTTTGGGGAACAAATAGATTTATTAGTATATGTAGTATTCCTTAAAACCTTTATCACTGCATTTAATGTATTTGAAAATCTGCTACCACGAGTAATTAACTGATTGCTTTCGTTTGGTAATTAAATCATAGTTTCAGATTCTTGTGATATACGAATGGCTCGAAACCATATCGAATTCTTACTCATCCGGTTTTTTAATTCGTTTCATTCTAAAGGAATATTTGTATATCATCATTAATTCACATAAAAAATGGTGATTTGATTTTGATTGATAGTTTCATCAAAGGTACTTTCATCATCTTGCTATTCAAGTGGACTTTATGAATTGGAGAACGAACAGATTGTAATTTAACGCAATTTTTCTGACAACTGATAATATTTACGATTTATTAATTAAATTATTACTATACAGTACATTGTACATGGAATATAGTACTGAGTAATTTGTACCTTTTCAAATAACTCTCTTTTCTATATGTTTTTAGTTTGAACTGTTATTTTGTGTACAAAATGAAAATGATCCAGTAATTAGTTTATTACAATCATTATGTGAACAATATCCTCATGTAAATAGCAGATTATTTATTGGTAAGTGTGTATTTGATAGTATTTCAGAAATGTTCCATATTTCTTAAAAGAGAAATTTATTTGACTATTTGAAGGTGATTTTCATCACAAACGGGTAGTAAATTAAGAGTTATTGAAAATTGCTAGGCACTGTCTGAAGATGTTGTACTAGTACCAGACTTCTCAGAAGTATGCACCCACAGAGTTGCATTAGGAACTAGTTTTCGGAACACTTAGGTTTTATAGTGGGAACTATAATTCTTAGACTAACAGTTTTTTAATTGATATCAATTCAGAATGACTGATATATTACTACAAAACCTTTCTTTTAGTAATAGTTGCATTTTTTGATGATGTCATGGAAATTTGAAGGGAGAAGATATGGGGCTGGTCGACATCAATCATTTCATAAGTAAAATAAACATTGTTGATGAACATTGGGCAACAACCACTTTATACTATAAATTAAGTGAAGTTTGGATTGTAGATCATTAGATTCCGACATGTTAGTGAACGTGTATTGCACTCTCCTTAAGACCCGAATGTTCTGGGTTCTACTCCCAAGTTTTTAGTACTCAATACTAAGAAATTCTAAATCAAGGTCAAATATCTGTCCACAGTCCCTTGTCTCTTGTAATTTTTTAGTTGATGTTATGCAGCTGTAATAATATGATATTTAAACATCCTATTCAACTCGTCTGTTCATCACAAAGTGAGGTTATTGCCAAGTATCATCTTTGAAAATTAATGATTCTCCCTGTTTTGCTGATTACACATCCAGCAGTTCCATACTACATCCTTTGAAAATCTATCTTGAATTATGTTTATTAACAAGTGGAAGGCTATCGTTTACTCCAATGGTTTACATTTTGTGAAGTTAGTTTATATTACTGACTGATATCCAACGAAGTAGTGTTAAATTCTGAGAGCAGGATGACCACAGTTAAGTGTTTTTCGATAAGTATCAATGAACATATTATTTCTCTTCATGATTTCGTGTAGTTTACTGTTGCCTATTTGAAATAAAAAGATTAAAAGTGAAAACATTAGGTATGTTTTGCAAGAATAAGACAGTTTTAGTTAACTTCTGTTATAAGTATAAGCAAAATAAAAATTTCGTAAAATGGTATCTTGATTGAAGCAATCAAAGCAATTGAAATATATGAAACGGTTTTTAACTATATATTTTTTATATAAAATTTAATCACTTTGAATGACAGGAGTGTTAGCCGATGAAAATAGTGTGAAAGTCTATGTGTTTCTTCAAAAATTTGAGAGCAAATAATAATCACTAGTACAAGTTTATCAAAATATTCAGATTTTCTAGTAAACGGAATACACCCATTGCCAAAGCAATAGATATACATGTGGAGATTGGTACAACCTCTTCTTCTAGCTTGGTCTTAATGTCTTATAATTTTTTTTCTTTTCTCATCGTTTTATTTCTTCCTTTCTTCATACTCTTCTTCCTTTACAGCCATCTGCTTCACCTTACATCTTCCTCTTAAATCTTCTACACTCAACTGGTTTATTTCTGTTTCTATGATCCTCCTGATTAAATTTAATTTCAATTTCAACATTTCATCTTATCATGCTGATCCATCCTTTCCCATTGATAATTTCCCTGTCTTTCTTTGTGATGAATACTTAAGCCATTAACAATCAAACAATTATTAAACTTCCCTTGTTTTAAAATTTTTTTAATACCTTTGTTTATTTTACCTCCCTATCACTATGTCTAACAGAAGTTTATTATCATTATTATTATAATTATTATCATCCTGTAAAGAATGTATATTATATTTCCTTGAAAAAGCTTGGACCAGATTGCTAGGCGAAACGTTGGATATACCCTAAATCTTTTCGCTGAGATTTTACAAATACATTCTTCCTCTTTAATCTTTCTTGTACTGAGATTTGTTATCAACCTTTAATCAAGAAAGGAAATTTGTCATCTTTACACATTATCTAGTAAATAACTTAGAAGTTGAAATTGTTTTAAAATTACTATATTTTTATCTATTTAATGAAATTGAATCATTCTCTTGGTATTGTTTTGCTTGAATCTTCCCATTGAGGTTTAAGACTGCAATTGATCAGTCTGTTGTTGGCTTATGTGGATACTGTATGTATGCCTCGATATTACCTTAATTCACAAGCTTTATAGGCAAAGATAGATAGTGGCTAGCAGTGGAATCCACGATAGGCGTTTCGTCCTATCTGAGACTCGTCTGCTGGATGTACCTGCATCTCAGAGTTGGTGTTCACTCTGGGACTCGAATCCATTACCGTTCGCTTTAAACGCTATCGCGTTATTCACTTAGCTACTGAGTCCTGATAGCCACTTGATTGTGCAATTGGGTGAAGTTTAAATTCATTTGATATTTCGATAATGCAATGAGAAGACGAAGTTTATCAGAATTATGTGATATATTTGCTCAATACATTTCGAACAATCTGATCACACACATACTTGTTAAGAACATTTATAAATTTTCTGATAAAATTCGTCTTCTCATTGCATTATCGAAGTTTATCAAAGGAACTAATCATTTGATATTGTTTGGCTTCTATCTTCCCATTGAGGTCTATGGCTACAATTGATCAGTCTGTTATTTGCATATGTGCATACTGTGCATATTGCGTCATCATTCTATATTATGAACGTTAAGGAAATAGTCAAATTTACTTTTATTATAAGTCACATGTAAATATTTAATAAAAACAAAGAAATAGGTGTGTATAAAATCCATTAGAATGAAATAATATCGAAAACTAACATCATCTGCTTTATTTATTTTAGTTACCAAATGTTTCTTAAATGTGATATTAATATTATTATTATTATTATTATGGTCATATGTATTATTCAACGAGATTAAAACACATTACATAATGAGAAGAATTTTCTTTTTAGGAAATCACCCTACAAAGAAGAAAAAAATAGAATGAAAAGCTAACAACAAAATGATTTCCACTATAATTATAATATTTAGTCTTAAATAAATTAAATTACTGAAAGTAAAGTGATTTTATGTCTTCATGTTTCTAGAATAATAATGACTGTATTAAATGGTATTTATTAAATAATATGAGAATCTTTTGATATTTAACTTTTAATATGCAAGATGAATTCATTCAAGATAGTTTTAGTAAGGTTTTGTTATCTTAACACTTTTTGTTTTACATCATATGTCTCTTATACAATAATGCAAATATCTACTTTAAACATTGTTAACGTTATAAGCAAAGATGGATAGTGGCTAGCAGTGGAATCCAGGACAGGCGTTTCGTCCTGTTTGGGACTCGTCAGCTGGATGTACCTGCATCTCAGAGTTGATGTTCACTCTGGGACTCGAACTCAGTACCGTCGGCTTCAAACGCCATCGCGTTATTCACTTAGCTACTGAGTCCTGATAGCCATTTGCTTGTGCAATGGGGTGAAGTTTAATTCACTTGATATTGTTTTACTTGAATCTTCCCATTGATGTTTTAGGACTGAAATTGATCAGTCTCTTATTGACATCAACTCTGAGATGCAGGTACATCCAGCAGACGAGTCCCAAACAGGACGAAACGCGCGTCCTGGATTCCACTGCTAGCCACTATCAATCTTTGCTTATAATGCTTGTAAATTAAAGCAATATCGAGGCATACGCACAGTATGCACATAAGCCAACAACAGACTGATCAATTGCAGTCTTAAACCTCAATGGGAAGATTCAAGTAAAACAATATCAAGTGAATTGTTAACGTTGATTAGATGACCTATTCAGTATACAGTAAACTGGAGAACTAAGCATCTATTTAAATTTGATAATTTTGATGTTTATTTATATTTCCTTGAAAAAGCTTGGAATAGATTGCCAGGCGAAACGTTTGATATACTTCAAATGTTTTCGCTAGGATTTTACAAATACATTCTACCTCTTTAATGTCTCACATTAACTCGGCGCCCAAATACTGTGAAACTATTCGATCAAATTTAGATGAAAGTTCTTATTTACTCTGTACAGTTTTTTTGGTAGTATATAACTATAAAGGATCTGGATAACTTTTTGTTTTTATAAAACGTTTCCTATTAACACAGTTCTTCGAACTAATATGTGGACAGTTTCTAAAGTGTTTTTTGTTGAATCTATTTCTTGATCGTGATAATGAGATAGGTTCAGCTTAGAAAAGTTATCTTTATGATTAGAAGATCTACCATAATTGTATCCATGTTACTGAAAGTGACTGAATTTGATAAAGCATTATTTTCTCAAAATGCTGATAAGCTCATCCGTTTTATGCTTCACTCATATCAAATTAACTCAACACTACTTATAAAAAATGTATTTGTTACTTTACTACTCATAAGATTTTTAATGAATTTTGTTTATTAGATTCTCGTGCACGCACATTAATCTTTAAAATAAAAACTAGCATATTGGTAATATCAGTCTTCCTGCTGAAGGTAGACATTTATTTGTGATTAGTTTTTTTTACTTCAGTATATCTGGAGCTCACAAATAGGCTAACTAGTTTCTCGTATCCGCTCTGGAAATTTACGTTTCTATCAGGGTACTGAGTGAAGTCGACGATTCACCAACTGCTCCGCTCCTTGAGATCCTATTTTCTAATGATAAAAGGTAACTATTTTATGAAACCAGGAGAAAGTATGTTAAGAAGTAGTGTTTTTTCTATCAACTGTAAAGATATACAATAACATTATATCCTGATAGAACTGTTAATTAAGAAAAATAGTGCCTTAAATACTCGTTGAATGTTGACTTAACCAACGTGTTTAAACTAATGGTATATTTATCCAACCAATTGCTTAAATGTCGTTCGAACGTACACCATAATACAGAATCTTGAATCAAGCGCACATCGCAAAAGGAAGTGCGAAACGAAGTTAAACCGTCATTAACATGAAACGTTTCACAACTTCGCTATTTTATAAATATTGCTAATTACGCGACAATCAGTCACTGTGTAACGATTCAATTTCATGTTTGTATATGATTAGCTATCTACTCAACTCTATGAACTACTAGAATAATTTTAAATGCGATCTTATTTGAGCTTCATCTAACCGCGTTGTTGCATCGTGCGTAAATTGGGGATTACAAATTCGGTTTGTAAATCCTGTAATTAAAATCCTACATATTATTTCTATCATCATTGATATTAATCGTTCATTTGCACAACTGGAATTCCTGAGTTACATAATTTGACTTAATAATTTATAATTAGGTTAGTGAAATTTTATGTGGAAAATTTTTCATGTAACGATTTAATCATTCAGTCATTAAGAAATGATCTTGATTGCTTTTTGAAAATAAATCTCTGTTTTAATTCTTCAGGAGGTAGAGACGGAGTAGTGAATCCAATGGTACACAATATGGTACCTGCTTACGAGGCTGCAAAATATAATCTTGTTTGGGTGAGCACTAGTCGAGTTAAAGGTAGATTTACGGTTTGTAGTGTTTAATTTACTACATTACATTTAACCCGTTTGGTTTGATTTTCTTTTTATGTTTCTTTAAACGTAGTTTTACTGATTTAGTTTGGTGTCTCATAGTGAAAAAAATGGTTTTAGAAATTGTAAATACTGTTGTAGTGATAGAAAAATCAGGTGATGTAAGTCAATTTATCATTTTACGCAAAATTACACAATGTCTTTGGAAAATATGACCATCACACATTAAACCCATCATGAACATATCCTCCTTAAGTTGTCCTTTACGCAGTCCATCATTCTTCCAATCCTGTTGTTGTTCCGATCGCCCTCTATTTTCTTTCCTCTCCTTCTCCTTCTTCCCTTCTTTTTTCTTCTTCCTCTTCTTTTTTTCTTTCTCTTTATTTCAATCTTCTGCTGGTGGGCAGTTTACTCCCGATTCCTGTTACATACTGCCTATAACTATCCGCATAAACAGCTTACAGCACACTATTATGTGGGTGAGAGCTAAAATAATCGTAGTGTTTGAACTTTTAATGGGTATCTGTAGGAGTTTAATAGAAAACAATTATTGAGTTGTTTAGATTGGTGGTCAGATTAAAAAATACCTTATAGAGTTCAAACAACACCTTGGATAAGTTAGGTAGCTTATTGCAATCACGTAGTTGCTTAATAGAAACTACCAGCTTCTACTGATTTCTTAGTTTTATACTTGATAACCAGGAGGTTTGAATTTAGTGTCGAATCGTTCACTTATCGATTACATATTTAAACATTTTCATCGACTGTAGTTTAACACCTTTCAGGTTGTTAAATGCTTTTTATACGATTACTGTATCATTAATTAAAAACGATTAACTGTCAAGTACATACACTCACCAATGTCAGTAAATTCACTGTAATTTCTTACATTTTGGACAGTGAGATTTATTTGCTGGGAAGTCAATTTAGGATATTGTTTTAATTTATTTTAATAAATTAACGGTCTCATTCATTAATTCCAATGGTTCTATGACTAATTAAGTTTATAAATTAGCCACGTGCATATTTAACAACATTAAGACAGCTAATGGTGATCTTTGCTGCTTTATAACTGGTTTAAGTAGGTTATCTGAGATATTCTTTTATTAATATTTAGAATTATCTAGAAATGAATCTGTACATGAATTACTTATAATACTACTAATGTGTCATTCATCAAATTGGTAAATATAAGTTCAAGAGTAGTATGACGTGTACACCCTATTTTTTTCATGTTTCCCGTTATTTATTTGACATTTGTTAAATGACCGTTCAATTTATCTTGAAAGTTATGATCAGCTCTACAGACTGTCGGTTGGAAATTATTTCGTTACGTATTTTTTTCAAATACATGTAGTGAATTACTTCAAAAGTCTTGCTTAGTCGTACTGTAGCGTAATCGAATTGATCAAAGCATGTTTGTTTGTATTTTTAATTTCTGATGTATGTTTCAAGAATGACTATTTATTTTGTCTTAGTATAGAGAGTTAAGGAGATTATTGGATTTTGCAGTTTTCCATCACAGACTAACTTTTACTAAACAAAGATTGAAAACCAGAAAACATTGGAGAGTTGTTTCGTCCTAATGTAGGACTGCTTACTAGTGCTCGACTGTTTCAGTGATCAAAATCATATTTATCAAGTTCTATAAAATCATAAGCTTTCTGATCATACAGGTTGGAATATTTTTTTAGTGAAATTCTGCGCAGTAACTCATACTTTGGTTGACAGACTGATATATTGCCTATGCCACAAGTGATGCATATTGGCAAAAGTTAGTCGAGTCTTCTGAATCCATGCCGAGATTTCGCCAGATAGCAGACCATCAGGACTGATCAGATCCTCAAGATAATTGGAGTGGTAGATACGTCCAACTACTTCACCTCCTACAATTAATTCAGGAGGTGACACGAGCCAATCCTAAAGCAGAATATGGGGTTTTGAGGTGGAGAATCTGATTTCAAACATGTTTGGATTGTTGCTTATGATGGCCAGAAGACTGTATTTTGTTAGGGTTTTCACCAAATAGAACTATATCATCTGCATATTCTAAGTCAACAAGTGAATAGTTCGCTAGGAGACCAATCCCTGAAACGTATGACGGTGAAAGCTTTATATTTGAAAGAATGTCTGTGACATAGTTTAATAAAAGTGAAGAAAGTAGGCATCCTTAATGAAGGCTACTCAAATATCTCAATTCTAAAGACAATTTACCATAAGCTTTGACTTGACCAATAGTGTTTGAGTAGACTGCCTTCAAAAGTTTAATGTACTTCTTTGGTGCACATTTCAATGACAGACCTTGCCACAGAACCTCGCGATTAACCAAGCTGAATGCCATCTAAAGGTCAATAAATACAATTATTGTCGGACGTTAAAAAGTATGTTCAATGTTTTCAATCTAAAGTCAATCTTTCCGAATATTTTATCACAACTGAAGCCAGGTCTCAGGACGATAGGCTATTTCACAACCATAGAATAACTTGTTTTTTCAAGATTCGGCAAAAATGTCAAACATGTACATTACTATTCATCCTACTGTAAACTTGCACTACAACAAGTTACTTCATGATTTTTAAATAAACTATACGAATCTAATTTTTTGTGATACGGGAGGAATTTTTTCACAATAGATATGTATCCCATTATGCTTTAAGTGGGAACAAAAGTTGTCTTCCAATAATGCTCATTGTTCTTTTAATTCGTTTATTCTACTGGCATTGTGTTAATTAACAGTATATTGGTTAATTTTGTGAAGGTAGCTTCTGTCATAAACACAATACTTTTTGTACTTTTAGCATGCATATTTCCAAACTTAGTTTAGGAATATTTACCTTATTGAAATAATTTAATCTGACATTTGAACAATAATAATGATTGAGATAATGAATCGATCAGTGTTAGACCACCATTGGAAACCTGGAAGCACTGGACGTTCGTTTCGTCCTAGTATGGGACTCTTGAGCAGTGCGCATCCACGATACTGCGCGTAGGACCTTAGGTCTCGCGCGCGCGCTCTTAACATCAAGACCACCGAGCTAGCATCCAACGGTGTTAATCCCTGACTTCAACGAATCTAACATTGATCGATTCATAATCTCAAACAAAGATCAGCAACCTCCACAAGCATATACTGACAATAATAATAATGTTAGACTTACATACTATCTTTTGAACATGATGTCGTATTACTAAATATGATTTTTTCGGTTTCAAATTTCCTTCCTTTTACTTGAATTGTAAATACGATTATTATAATAAATATTAAGATAATTGTAAGTCGATTATTTTTGTTTTAATATGAAATTTTCATAGCATCCGCAGAGGTCATTTGGGATTTCGTCTATAAAGCTCATGATCCATCAGTTGCCATTGTTCATCAATTGCCATTTTTCGCCGATCATTCTGGTTTTGTAGCCGCTATTGAAAAGGTAGTGCAGATGTTTTCTTTTGGAACGTTTTAAAAAAATTCCATCACAATTCATTTTACAAAGATGAAAGTGTCAAACGTCATTTTTTCTTAGCATTAATTAATGCTAGTAACAGTGTGTTGCATTGCGATTATTTTATATTCCATCAGATTCATTTTTTATCAAAATTATTTATCTCTCTGGAATCGTTTACTTTTAATCAATTCAATTTACGCATTGCTTACCATTTTATTTCAGTGAATGTTTGAGTACTTAAACTTTTTATTAGGTATATTTAGTTTGTTTGAATAGATAAATACAACAACCAGGGGAAGGAAATGCGTTTGTAGTATATCATGAAAAATATCTTGTTGCATTGTTTACGATCGATTGCATTTGAGTAGATGTATTCATTCTTTAGTTTCCTGATTTTTGAATATGGTAGTTACTCAATGTTTTTGTTAATATAATTACTTTCCTGTGAAACCATATGTTCCGTGAATAGTTTTCCATTAGGACTTATTATTGTTATCCTCACTTCTATGCTCTTTATCTCAGGGATGTTCTCTCTCTTTATTGATGTAAATTATTTCAACTTGAAGCGATCTACATTTATGTCAGGTTCTTAGCTATTTAAAGTTAACTGAGTGACTATTCTATTCACCACTTATTCATGCTTTACACCGTATAATGTTTTTACTGAAATAAGTTTAAAGTCTGGAAGCCTGATATCTTTCTGAAATGCCTATATCTTAATCATTGATAAGATCCTGTCTAGTTGAGCGTGTGTTTTTTGATTTCTTTTCTGTAATATGTAACGGTCAGGATCTGGAGATTGTTTTCATAAGTCAATTACCAGTTCAGTGTCTAACATTCTTTTTGAGTATTTTATATCTCTCCTATAAATATATGTAAAAAAAATCTCTGTACAGCAATAGACTTAATCCAACAGTTAGAAAATACATATTCTTTTTTAACTTGAATACAAATGCATGAATATATGAAGCTTTAATAATCATTTCACTAAAGGTATGTCATAAATAATCCCTTCAATCATTTCTCTAATCAAATTAAATATGTATATTGTACATAAACTTTAAACAGTTTATTCTGTGTGATTAAAACTTCTTCACGGATTTATGAACTAAGTAAACTAGACTGACCTACATGCGTATTATCATAAACGATTGATTATTTAAACCAATTGAACAATCTTACTATAACAATTAAAATGACAGTATAATTGAAGATAATTAATTTAAATGTAGAATGACATTCCCTCAATGACAGAAATCTTTTGTAAGTTATTCATTACAATATTAACTAAATAAATTGATCAATTGTAACCGGGTTTATCAAGATAGACTGAGCTTTGATGTGTAACATTTTGATTTAAAATAAATCGAGCATTGAAAAAGTTATTCTGTCAACAAAGCTTTATAATATGTTATTGATAAAGGGCAGGTAAATAGGGTAGCCTTCATTTTATTGTCCACTGTAGACCAGTCTTTAAATGAAATCATTAAACGGAATGGTTTAAAAGAATTGTTTGAAAATGTAAACAGCATTTCGGAGAGCATGAAGCTAACAAAGGAAATAAAGTCTAATGGCCACAAACAAGCGTTTTTCGATTGTTCGGTTGAACAAAGATATAATAATAAGTTGAAAATAAATGTATTCAAGAATTCAACACATTCTGAGAGATACTTAGATTACGGTTGGACTCATGAGTGTTGTACGAAAGTAACTGGTAGAAAATTTAATTAACAAAAGTGATAATCTCGTTACAGATAAGGAAGACCAACAGGTTGAATTGAATGAAATTTTGTCTACGCTTAGAGAATAACAACTACCCCAAAGAATTTGTAAATAAGATTATTATAAATGGAAGAAAAACTAAATTAGTGTGTACCGAAAGATTGGAAGTCCAACCTCGTCATCACATACCGTAGTGAAACATCGGAAGGAATAAGGGAGATTCTAAACAAACATGATATAAGAGTGTATTTTCGGGTTTATGAAATTTAAGGGTAGATTTCTAAAGGAAGAACAACAGAATATTGTCTATAAGCTCAACCGTTATGGTTGTAATGTAGTGTATATGGGAGAAACTTACCGGCAATTGAATGTGATCTTGAAGGAACACAAACAATGTTTGAAAAATGTCCCAAATCCATGGTTGATGTGAGGAAACTTGAGAATAGGTCGGCGATAGTGTTACACACGTCGTAAATAGGACACAAGATCAATATGAAAGGGACCAAAATACCTCTGATAGGTTTTAGTACACATAAAGAAGTATTGACAGCAGAAGCGCTGTATATATGGGCGAATAAGGACAGTCTGAGCAAAAAGGATGGTATTCAACTAGCAACTGCTTGACAAGTATTCGTTAACAAGTGATTGGACTTTTTCTCTATCCAACCTGTTTATTTCTCATACATCGTTATTCTGACAGAAATTAATCTGGGTTATCTTAGCATTACATTTATGTATTTGATGGTTTTCATTTTATATGCACATTGACGGTTCATAAGCAATTTCAACCTGTAATTTTGTTTTTACTTCAAACAAAAAAATCGAACACCTAATATCAACTATTAATAACTCGATCTTACACATACACACACATTTCATTTATTTATTTGAACATTATGGACTTTTCACATGATCCATATAAAACTGACTCATGTTATCCTACTTACTAATGTTAACTTCAAAATATGATTGAATAAACACAGCTAAGATTTTATTTTTGATTGAGATCATGAACCGATTGATGTTAGACCACTACAATTGAAAACCCGGTAGCACTGGACGGCCGTTTCGTCCTATTGTGGGACTCCTCAGCAGTGCGCATCCACGATCCCGCTCGCGCGATTCGAACCCAGGGCCTTCGGTCTCGCGCGCGAACGCTTAACCAACTGGACCAATCAAAAACTTAATAATTTCCGCAACCCCTATACTAGTAAAGATTTTATTGCTAAACATGTATTTCTTTGGTGATTTTGATTTTGAGTTTCACCCTGAAGAAGTCCAGGCAAGTTTGCTGGACGAAAGGTTAGAATTATTTAAATTCCAATCGCTGCGATTATCTCAGGCACAATTCTCACAAATAATGTTATATCTATATTCGGTGCCCAATTTTTGTCAAACTTTCCGTTCTAATATTGACGAATATTCGTACAAATTAGCTAGTTATGTTAAAAATGGATCTGGTTCATTCAAATACATAGGAAGTTGTCTAGATGTAAATTAACTCAGCGCACTGTTTTATTATTCCAAATTTATATATGAAGCACACTTTTCTGTGCATATCACTTTTAACTAGCATACCCTTGATATATTAACATTTGTACTAGGAATTTTGTACATTATATAAAATAAGTTAATGATGAAGATTTGCATGATACAATCAAGATCAGTGTACCATTAACATAAATTTGTTAACAGTCAACCCATCTGGTCAGATTTAAATCTTCGGATGATCGAAGTGACTCAAGTATTTGAAATTTCTTATTGATCTTTGCATCGTAACTATTCAGTGATTGGAAATCATATCAAATCTGATTAATGTATAATAAATAACGGACATGGTGTAAACGTTTTACAGTGTATTTCGAAAAATACACTATTTGGATTTATGTAATATCACATGTTATTGTACAGTAAATAAACAGTAAGTAGAAGACACAGTTAATTATCGTGGAATATAGGTTGAAATGATCACAATCAGATTTAAGATATATTGGGCAGTTGAAGCCCTAACAATTACATAACAATGTACAAGCCATTAACAATGTGGACTCAATAACTAAGCGGATATCGCAATGACGTTTGAAGTGTACGGGGTCGGGATCAAATCCTCTGATGATCAATAACTCGGGGATCTGGGTAATTCCAATTGGCGAGTCCCGAATAGGACGAAACACTGCCAATCACTATCCATCTTTCTTAACATAACTTGATTAGTTTATGACCGAAATATACACGTAGAACTTACATCATACAAAGCTTTCTCCTTTAATTGCATTAAGTATTTCTCATCGCTTAGGTTAGAGGATTGTATTAGTTTTATTATATAGCTGACTATAATGTGTTAATACTATTTAGATTTCATTAAGCTAAGTAATTAAAAGAACAATTTTTCCATAGGTCAAAATTTGTTTCTATTTTCTTTTTCTATACTTAACCAATTTGAAGTAGGTTGGAATAAAACACTGTTATGTATGATTTTATACTGTAAAAGATTTTGTTCATATGGCCGGTGTTACAAAAAGAGATTTATTTTGAATTTATTGTCAATACAACACAGTATCATTGGTGAAGTATTATTTCTTTTTTTCTAATGATTAACAGTAGAATTTTGTAGTTTAACTAATTTTTTTTTCAGTGTTATTCTTTTGCAAAGAGTATTATTAATTCAGTTTAAAGTTAGCATTCATTTGATTTCAGTTGCACGTTTCATTTCTGTTCATCTTTAAATTGTCCCTACATTAAAATGATTCCATTTCTTGTTAATTACTTACGCTTGATACTCCTTGTGGAGGAGCATAGGCCGCCAACCTGCACTCTCCATCCAACTCTGTCCTGGGCGATCCTTTCCAACTCTTTCCAGTTGTTATTTATTTTTTTTTATATCTGCTTCTATTTCCCAATGTAATATGTTCTTTGGCATTCCTCTTTTCTGTTTCCCTTCAGGATTCCACGTTAGGGCTTGCCTCGTGACGTAGTTTGATGAGTTGCGTAATGTGTATCCTATTCATTTCCATCGTCGTTCCCTAATTTCCTCTTCAGTTAGAAGCTGGTTTGTTCTTTCTCACGCTAACCAAAAAGAAATAATTCATTTCTTCGAAATGTTGTCAATTTAAGAGTAATAAATCACACACATACATACACTGATTCTACTTTTTGCATTAATTAAATCCATAATCTTCATAACATGTCTCTTTGTTTTTACAAATTAAATGTTCAACAGTAATTATTATCAAATGTGTTAATCTTATTAAAAGAAATCATTCTAGAATCAGGTTATTTGTATAATTTCTTATTGAATATAATCCATAATAATATTAGAGTAAAATGTTAACTATATTTAATATCTAAGATGAATTAGGTCAAAGTACAAAGGATTAAAATTATAATATCATGTTTCATAATCCTTAATTTCTTTCCGTTATCATAGTTGACTACAAATTTCGTGTGATTATATTTTCTTTTTTATTGTAAAAATAATTATGTCACCTTGTAATGCTTTTTAATCGTCATCATCTTATACAATCTGTTGTAAATAAATACTGAATGGAGAAGTGAAATCAACTAACTCTTTGAGTATATATATAATTATGGTGAAGATTTGGTTCGGCTTTTTAAATACTTTTTTTATTTAAGTTATTCTATTCAGTAGATACTGATTTACTATTTGTCTATATATTATGATTTTAAATTGGTTAGTTTAAGATATCAGAAGGGGTTTTGTGAAGATGTTAAAGATTTCACAGATTGAAATCATGAGTCAATTGAAGCTAGACCACCATGGAAAACCTGGAAGCGCTGGACGGCCGTTTCGTTCAGGTTTTCCATGGTGGTCTAGCTTCAATTGACTCATGATTTCAATGTGTGAAATTTTTAAAATCTCCACAAAACCCCTTCTGATAATAATCATCTGCTCATTATTGACTGACTTCAAGAGATACTCCTGGAGTTTTAGTGAGAAGCCGTTACCAGTGGAGTTCAACCAGGTCTGTTGTGAGATATCAACTCACTGAAGACAATGGTGTATGGTGGCGCAACTTCGTGGATTGGTTGAAGTTAGACATTAACACCGTTGAATGCCGGCTCAGTGGTCTGGTTGGTTAAGCGCCTGGCGCGAGGATGATGGGTCCTGGGTTCGAATCTCGCGGGGTGCGGAATCGTGGATGCGCATTGCTGAGGAATCCCATACTAGGACGAAACGGCCGTCCAGTGCTTCCAGATTTTCCATGGTGGTCTAGCTTCAATTGACTCATGATTTCAACCAATGTAGTTTAAGATATGTTTTTATTACAATTTTAAATATATTCTTGTTTTAATGAGTGCGACCATATTTTCGGTTGGATTTTTAAGTATAAGCATTTACACTGTGGAATGAATTTTAATTTTGATAATAGTTTTGTACTAAATAAAAAATAATTACCTATTTCGATGCAAATATTTTAATTTATTTTTGTGAACATTTCTATTTGTATTCTAATAGATAAATGAAACAATAAGATAAGATGATAAATTAAATGAAAGTCAACTAGATCTTCTTTAATGTAAAATTGATAGTTTGATGAGTTTTTAACTTTGATCATAAAAACATTATGTTCTATGTATAAAAAAATGTTAGACTTGAAATAGTTTACTTTCATGAATGTAAGAATGGATGATTTCAAATTTTCCATCAATCTTTTATTTCATTTGATCTATGGTTGTTCTTATTTTAAATGGTTTCTGCAGTATTCTTAGATTTGAATAGAATTAAGTCACCTTTTGTCTAAAATGACCATCTTCAGTCACTTCATATTATCTCAATTTAATTTTGTATTTTTATTAAATCTTCATGGCCTAAATCATTTCATGATTAAAGCTAGACCACCATTGAGAAGCTCGGAACATCGGACACCTGTTTTTTTCTTAATATGGGATTCTTCAGTAGTACACGGTGATAACCTCTTCCTAAGAAATCGAACTCAGAGTTTTTTAGATCATATGGTCTTTTTGGCTAATGGTATGATAATGTCGACAAAAGCTTAAAAGTTTTGGAACTATTTATCTATATATATAAACTGATAGAAATGGAAATTATGTCCTTAATTATTCAATATTTTTTCAGTAATTACAACACAATCGATCCTTCATGCACTAAAATTTAGACATTAGTTCACTGTTTCAATAATTAAGAAATGTCGTTTGATCTAATTACTAAGTGACTTTAATTTTTGTCTGACAAATATTGTATTGCATTTCATTTTAATGAAATACGTGCAACTTGCGGACCAGTATTTTGCGAAGTTACTCATTTACATTTGTTAACAAAGTATGTGACTTAGAAAGTAAGTTCTGTCTTTATTTATGACAATGTTAGTCTTAAAACAATAAGCAATTGGTTATTGACTTATCAGTTGTGAATCCTATTCAGTTACGGTTTAACAGAAATCTCAAAATTCATATGCATTGTTTCATTCAGTCTAAGTTATTGTTATTTTCAGTTATTACATGACAGTGCACAATCTCTAAAATGCAACACTTTTCTTCTTAACTGGACAATAAGGGGTAATATCGGAATTATCTATCGTAAGAGTTGTAATAAATTTTACAATTCCGTTACGAATGTTCCTATACTTCTGTCTTCTTTTTCCCTAGTACTTCTAAAATCTATCATTTACTCCCCTCAGAAATTGATGGTATCTGCTTAATTGATTAGTTATAGCGTTTAAATTTTGTCTAAGCAGTGTTAGTTATCTTTAGGATTTCAACATTGATATTAATTAATTGCATTATCGATTTGATTAGGATGGGTTGCCACATAACGTAGTGGTACGGATAACACAACATTGTTTTCGTCAATATCTTATTTTGTTATATTTAGCAATAACTCTGCTATGCACTAATTTTAAATAGAATTCATTTATAAAAGAGATTGGAAACAATATTTCCTTATGTTAACATAATTTGATCTTTTCAGTTTTACCTTAAATCTTAAAGTGTTTCTAATTTATTAATTCATCCATGTTAATTGTTCAGTAGTAAAGGACACTTAATTTGCGTTTCACTTTGCTTATTCTTCTATCGTTCTCTATTCATACTTATGACCTTGACAAATTTTAAAATTATAACATAATCTACTTTGTTTTATTTCTACAAGGAATAAATTATAAGAACTAACCACGTTCACCTAATACTTAGTGACCTTTTAATACTTTTCATTTACTTCACTACATAATCGTCTAATGTGTTTTAATTCCATGATTTCTAATCACTATTTCAATTTTCTGGAACCTTCCCTCCCAAACTCTATATATTCGAAACAAAATTTTATGACCTCATTAACTCTATCAAAATGTTCGCTACATCATGATACATTTATTCATCCTTAATTACCCTCTTATGTATAAATATGTCAATATCTGTAATAATGTTGAATTTCAAATATTTTAGGTTGTAAGCAGCTGATGAGAACCTAACGAAATAAAATGAATCCATATTATTCTGCACCAACATTTGTTCTTACTTTCTTTAAAATTAATACTTTTCACTACAGAGTATTTGTCAAGTCTTATTCAACGAATATTTTGTGTGTAAATCAATAATTGTTTCAAAATTTCGTTTATCTTATCTATCAGCCTAGAGATGAATGTAGAATGAAAGCCAATAAAAGATGGTATTTTGTCATCTTTCCGAAACTTTTATCTATTATGATCCTAATTACAGAAAAAAAATTATGAACCATTATAACGTCTGACGTTTTTTCTCTTCATTTGTCGTTTGAAGAAGCTTCAAAAGATTGCAGTTTAATTTCTACATTAAACATGATATGAAGTGAAAAGAAATGCCATAGAACAAAGACTGATTGTAAACATTATCCATTGAATATAAAGTCTTTTCTTTATACCTTTTTTTTTTGAATATTCACATGTTTCGCATAGTTCGTTTTAAGAATTATTTACTGTAATCCAATATAAAATGTTCAATAATACAATCCTTATTATTAATTTTTATAAACATTAGTTTTCAATAATTTTAGTCAGATGAAATTATGGCTAATAGTGATGAAATCCTCGACACATGTGTTTCGTCCTTGTTTTTTGAAGATTTTCTTCAGCTTATTTATATTCAACATGAAATTATTTATTCTTGTTTCAATTTGATTAGATGAAGAATTTTGAATTATAAAACGAAATATAAATGATATTGAATAGTTTATCTTTACATATAAAATAAATAGGTTGACATATTATCTATTTACTGGTTTGTTGATGCTTCAAATGTAATTTATCATTTAAAGTTACATATTTTAAATATTCATAATACTTTTTAGAATTATTTATATGACCAGAATAATTTTCAATATTTGCATTTTATTGAAGATAAAAATTCAATTTATCAAATGACTGGAACACATATTAGTTTGTATACGCTCAGTGTTAATCTATTCTTTCATGTCTATGTGTATGAGAGTTTGTGATTTTACTGGTTAGCTTATATAACAGGTTTGAACTTTGAACATAATGGTTGAAATGTGTATGCCATCATTCAATTTCTTTTAAACCAAACTATAATTGTTTACATTAGGAAGAAATAACTGTTCGAACGTTGAACAGGATGAAACGTTTTGGAGAGAAATTTGTTTATATCTGTGTTAAATATATTTAAAAGATTAAAAAATGACAAAGATACTAGATTATTCTTTTGATCCAGAGGTAATTTAAGTCTTAGTTGATAGTGGCCGATCGAGATAAGTATTAAGAACTTGATTTTATATTTGCATTATTTTAAAAGTTTTCAAGACTGTTATTTATTATTTGACTGTAGTATGAAAGAAATTTGTCAATTTTAGGAGATCCTAGGGAATTTAAAGGGAACTACTGTTTCAGTTCTTGCTTATATATATATATATATACAAAGTGACATTTATAAGATGTTAATCGTTTTGCTCTAATTATTATTGTACACCGAAAGCAATATAGAGGGTATAAAATTGCTTTCCGATTCATTTGCAATACATTTTTTAAACTGTTGATGATTCCATGGTTTCTACACACAGAATCAATAAACATTCTATTGTTTTCAGTATGCTTAAACGTTTTAACCTAGTACAGTATGTATATGTCCTAATCCAACATTTCTATGAATACAAATTAGTTGTTTGTGTCGAAACCATCAGTGCATTTTTATAAAATGTTCACTATTCAATTTAAAATCTTGACCACGTAATGTTTTTATAAATAATATTTCTTTTTAACCTTTTAGGTTACATTTGGGTGTTATTTGGCTCGTAGTTATACTGCTTTGAATCAATTAGGCGTGACATGTTTTACCGGTATGTCGTATATTGTCAAAAAATCAATGTTGAATGAAGTTGGTGGATTAGCCTATTTTGGGAAGTATTTGGCTGAAGATTATTTTTTGAGTGCTGCATTGTGTCAGAAGTGAGTAGTTGGTGTATATATATATCCAATGTACTCATTAACGATAATTAATCACGTTATTATCGTATATTTATTAGTTTAATATTAATGCTTATGTTTGTAGTGAAACGTTTTAATAAATATTCGTAATTGGTTGAAATAACTATTTTTTTATTTTATCCTAGAATTATTTAATAATGTCCCTCTTTAATTCTATGATTTACTGTCTTAAAAGCAAGTAAACTTATAGTTTTATCAGTTGTAACTACTTTGTAACTTGTTACTTTTAATCCCAACTTATTGGTCGAATAGTTGGACTAATCTTTCTCTGGTTTTAGGTGAATTAAGATTGAATATCAAGCAACAATTATTCGACATTTCAGTTTTTCATCACCTGTTAGATAATGGAAATAAATTGAACATTGCGTAACTTGTCGAATTGATCAATAAGTAGACAAAATCAGATTTACTATTCCTTGCTGAAAGAGCAGTAATCGAATCTGCGATCACAAATGGACAATATCTTTAAAAGTTCTGGGGTGGCCTTAATTCGATAATATTTAGTTGAGTACTACTCATCTTCAAGATCATTCCTTTATTTTTATTGAGCTCTTTTCACCTTGAATTGCTGGTCAATCTGTTGCTGTATATTTATGTATTTGATAACATCAGTTCGTGAGCTATTTATATGTTCAGTCTTCTTAGTCATCTTATTATTTAATGAAACCATTTAGTTGAAGTTAAACATTAACACCGTTGGATGCTAGCTCAATGGTCTAGTGGTTAAGTGCTCGCGCACGAGACCAGTAGGTCGTAGATGCGCACTGCTGAGGAGTCCCACAACAGGACGAAACGGCCGTCCAGTGCTTCCAGATTTTCCATGGTGGTCTAGCTTCAATTGACTCATGATGACAACTATTGAAGCCATTTAAGCCATCAAAACGTATTTGTTATTTAGATAAACTGTACATATACTTGCTATTGTAAGTCCATTAGCAGACTTCATTGTGTATATTGCTATTATTCTCTTTACTTTATCAATATGTATGCAGTGGATGAAGCTTATCGTTATTTTTATCCCTTTTGTATCTTGGATAAAAGGGATTTTTCGCAGTTACCACACATGGTGAATAAGCGTTGTCTTGCTAAGATTTAAAGTAATCTAATACAACTTGTTTCTGGATTCTGAATTTTAAGAAAATGTAAATCATAAGAATGCATTCTTTAGTCTGTTTATCTCTAAAAGATTTGCACTAATATTGGTTGGATGATCCTTTAGAGCCATATAAACACATTGTTTGGGGAAACAGTACATAACATAAATCCATTAATATACATCACATCAAAAGCATATAATTCCTAGTATTTCAATATGTTATTATCATTATTTCTTGATGTCAGGTCATTATCACATATTATTGATATAATTATTCTGTGATAACACTCACTAAAAACAACTGTAATCCATCAGCCTTTCACATCGTGAGTATACTGTGCATTAGTGTGGTATTTATTGCTCTGTGGCTGTGAAAGTATAATCCATGTTTCAGCCGCATTTACGAAATCATAAGCTTCTTCCTCTTTTTTCCCGTTGTATCTCAGTGGCTCTCTCTCTCTCAATGTATTGATATGAAATATAAAAAATTTGGTTAATAAGCATTTATCGAGGACGCACATTGTGTTTAACTTACTAATGATTCATTTGGGTCACTGTATCAACGTTTTCAACTGCAAACAATGTGGTAACTATATAGAGAGCCCTTTAAAAACTGTTTGCGTCTCGTAAGTAGTCCCAAAGGAAACGGATCATTCCTCCCATGGATAACTTTTCGAATCATGAAAACTTAGATTTTACACTCCAACTATGTATCTTAATTCTTGTAAATATCATAAATTGTGTTGAAACATTGCATGTGCGTATGCTTAATTAAATAGAGTTTGTATTTTCTTTCATTTGTTAAATGACTGCCAAAATCTGTTTTGATGCTAAATATTTATAGCGTGAAATATGTTTCCAGCATTGTTTGCTTAAGAATAATCTCTTTTACACATAGAATAATAAAAGGTGTTCAGGAAGTTATGTTTTCTGTTTCTAAAATTACCGGTTGCTTATTTACATTTGTTTACAGATGCCTAAAATAATTAATTGAAGAATATGGTTTATGAGCTGAAACTTTTGATCTTGAATACACTAACGTATTTGAGTATAGTTTGTCCGTAAATAATAAACGTGTATATATTTCGTTTTAGTAAAAGTTATTTCGTATTTCTTCATATTGATTGACTTAATAAAATATTCATAGTCGCTTAATAGGTCAAGAACTCATCTAACATTTTATGCTACAACTTTTAATTTTGCTTCAAGACAGTGAGATGAATAACTGCATATTATAACTAATTTTTGCATAAGCGGTATCATTAAAATGTTAATATGTTAATGGGAAATTATGTAATTAGTTGCAGATAAGAATTTGAATCTCACTTCACTTACATTACTTTGGATAAAGAGGTATAATTAAAAAATATCACATAAGTACATTTGTTTAAAGTTTAGTCACTGAACTTATAATTGGAATAATTCAGAAAATTCTATTTAGATTTTTGAGTTTTTACTATTGATAAAACGATTGAACTTGCTTTTTGTTTCTTGGAACAATCTCTTTTGAACAACACCATTCATGTTGAAAGAATTTAGTAATGACTATAGTGTTCTATGTTATACGTAACACCAAGATGATTTTAACATTAAGTGCTTGACACGATACACATAAACCAGGATTATCGCAAAGCTAAGAATAATGTTTTGATCAAATTTCAGTTTTATTTAAAAATGTAATAATTTTCCAAATAAATGTCATTATGTTTCCACTACAATTGTATAGTTTAATAGATACTGAATAATGTGATAAATATTTGGGAGAATATTAGAATGAATATAGATTGATTACAGTTAGATACTAACACCGTTGGATGCCAGCTCAGTGATCAAGACGTTAAGCGTTCACTTGCGAAACCGAAGGTCCTGAGCTCAACTTCAGCGTGTGGAATCGTTAATGCGCTCTGCTGAAGAGTCTCATTCTGGGTCGACACGGCTATTCAGTGCTTTCAGGTTTTCGATGGTGGTCTAGCTTAGATTGACTCATAAATTCAAACATAAAGATTATAATATTGTAAAAGAAATTGTAAACTGAATGTTTCTTACAATTAAATATAAAATCATTAGATTGTTATTTAAAGCCATTATAAAAATATTCAAAACGTATTGTTGAATAAATTAAGCAATACATTCTATTCATTATATACTTAGCTATTGTAATGGAAAAATAAAGAATTCCCTTAGTTTGATAAAGATAATATAATGAGGAAACAAATACAATATATAATTGTAAATTAATTTTATTGATTGTTTGCCAATAATTATAGTTGATGAACTGTTAATAAAAATGACCATGTATTGACTAATTAAAAGGAAATATTTTTCCATTGTTTTGGAATATAATAACGCTTTACGTTGATGCAGATGTAAATGACGTTACACCGCTAACAGTAGTAACATGTATTCTTGGTAAGAATATATATATATATATATATATATATATATATATATATATATATATATATATATATATATATATATATATATATATATTATTGACTGCTAACTCATTCTTTCTAGTTCGATGAACTGCTAGAAATATCATGGATAAACATTGATAAACTTTCGATTTTATAGAATCTAATGAACTATCCTAGAAAACATTGTAAGTGAGGAAGAAATATTCACAAATACATTGTTAAGAGGGTAGTGAAACGTTGTTGGTATTTGATTGAAACTCTTTAGTATTTCATCAAGTTGGAACGTTTCAAATATGAGTTATTGCAATGAAAATTTCAGACAGTCATAATATTTGTGAAGAGAGAGAGAATATGGTGTATTACAATGATATTTTGAAGAAAAAAACTACTGCAAAGATTTGAGAAACGACATCTTTTGATGAAGTTAACTATTTACTGTAAATTGTCTCAAACTTACGCAAGATAGCTGTTACATCCTCTACTTGATTAAAGCAAAATATGATACACAACTAACATTACTCAAACGTATAGAACCCCATAGTCAAAAATCCGAAGACAGAAGAAAGAAGGTGAAGTGATTGTTGGGTAAGAATCAAAAATGTATAGAAAGCATGTGTATTTACAGTTATTAGCGTTGGTTATAATATCCTTATAATTTAGCCAATCCTCAAGGAGGCAAGTTATGCTACCGTCCAATAATAGCATGTCACGTTGATATTCTTGAAAGCTCCATCAGGTTCTTATTAGGTTTCTTCAGGGCCCCTGGAGGCTCCATCGTGAAAGTCTAAGACCGTTCCAACAATAGCAAGTAAACAAAAAGATATATAAGTATATATTTGATTTTTCAAGATCGTTTTCATCAACTTCGATTTTCTCGGTTATCTAGTCGATTGTTTTTTCTCTCTACTAGATTGCACTTTTGACAGGACTCTTCACATTTCATCACCTATTTATTTGTTTTATACAGTAACAGAAAATCTCATATAGTTCCTAACCTATTTATACATGTTTTTGCTTGGGCTTATTAATTTTTAGGAAATCATTGCCATACAATATGTTCCATTTCAACAGTTCTGTAAAAATTAAGGTCATACAGGTTTTTCACCATAGACTCAACTACTTCTGTTTCGCCCTTCAATCATCCATTGACTTGAAACCTGTTAAATTAATTCGTTTTTTGTTTTAATTTACATGCTGTTGCCTAAAGAAACAAAACATAATGTATATTACGTGGTTCAGTAGCGTAAATAATGATTATGTATAATGTTGATCAATGTACTATTATAGTTTTACGGTTAATTGTTTTTTAATGTTTTTTACATTTATCCTTTATATTTCGTGTTTTTTTTTCTAGAGGTTATCGGGTAGTATTGTCATCTTATCCAGTTATTCAAAATGTTAGTAATAGTACATTAGTAAATTATATCAGGCGAATGGTTCGTTGGCTTCGGCTACGATTGAATATGTTGCCATTAGTTTCAGGTGTATTGGAACCATTATGTGAATCAATTACACTTGGTTTATTATTTGCATTAACTGTGCATTATTTATTTGATATTCAAATTATTTATTTAATTATGATGCATTTTACACTTTGGATACTATTGGATTATACATTATTACGTTGTATACAAGTAAGTGATGAAGACTTCCTAAAAACTAGATTTCTTGCAAGGATATTAGGGTTTAATTAACAAGCTTTTGACTTCAATATTTAACTGTCATGCGTATATAAGTTTGGAATTTCAACTACAAATTGTTGAATTCTAATGTGTATTTCTTTTATTCCACTCTGTTATGACTGCGTCACTAATTGTTATAGCTGGTCGTCGCTAATTGTTATGTCGGAATCGCTTATTACTTATACTTGTAAAATGAGGAACCACTGCAATTCCTACGATGCGAAGTAAGAACAACAAGACTGGTACAAGTGAAGATTTATTAACCTCAAAACATTGCAACCACCCTAGTCGAAAATGCGCCCGTTTATACGTGGATTGTAAACCCATTTGATTATTAATTAGGATGAAATCACATATATTGAAAATTACTTAGAGTTGTAACAAATCATATGCTGTGTGTCATGCTGTGCGTAGTTCATGTTAAATTAATACAAGAATATTGGATCTTAAATGAAGATCACACTCAAATAAATTAGTGTTATAACGGATTAATTATTACACTGGAAAAACAAAACAAATACTACACTGAGTAATTATCACACTGAATTAATGAAACAGAAGTACTGTTGAGCAAAAATTACAGTGAGTAAAAGAATGTAATTTTGCTTTTTAATCCCATCATATCACACTCATTTACCATATACATGCTAATGTACTCAGCTTCGCATCATACTTCAAATTTGATGACCAGTAACATTGATGTAGTGAGGTTCAAATCTGGAACTCGAAGGGTGAAAGTTGAATATCTTATCTATTGAGTCGCCGCTCCAGCATACAATGTGCATGTAATTCGATAAGAAAGTATGCAGTGTGCACCTTATAGTAAAAAATGCAATGTCAGAACAAGAATAACAAATGTGCGAAAATATTTTGCACTTGAAATATTATAGTTTTGATCAAGGCTTAAAACAAGTCTTGAAGTTTTTCATCATGGCTCTACACTAATATATATATGATTTACAATAATGATATAATACTCATCGAGTGGATACGTTACGTAATAACTACATAATGACATTTAAGTTAACATTGAGTAATTGGAAGAAAGAGGATTATTAATAATCAAAGCAATTATTCAAAATCAAGACGTTGCTACGTTCCGTAATATATGAAAAAGAGAGAAGGAACAGAATTTTTTAATGGATGGTCAATAGGATAGTAGTTACGTAAGAATCAAGAGATGAATGTTGAGAAGTTATGGAGTTCAAAAGTAACAGAAACAAAAAACAAGTGGAAGAAGTATGCAAAATAGTTCTTTTGAAGGAAATCTTATACTGATGGCCAGGGTAGAGAAAGTGGTTGTACGAATCTCTTTTGAATGCAAAGGTCAGGTTTGTGAATATGGATCACGATGGCTTCCGCAATGTGCAAGAGGCGCACTCGTAAACAATGTGGCAAATTTGATGGGATATTGTAGATAACCTTAAAAGCTTTATTCAATTCAACTTGGTGACCTGTGTCGACCAAGTGAGAGAGAATAGAACTTTTAATCCCTTTTACCTGTCCTTTGCTTACCCATGACGGATGATGTTCTGTAATACGTTGACGGACTTGCCGAATTGTACGCCCTATATAACTGGCTCAACAGGAGCAGTTGAAACGATAGATACACATAGTTTGGCGAATTCTGGCAGTCTGTCTTTAATGGATGTTCTTATTTTGGGATGGTTGTAGAAGATTGCATTTAATCTGGCAGCATTAAATGTTTTCTGTACGGCTCTTCTTAGTTTATGAGTCAAGATTTCTTCAATGGTGTCATTTATGAATTGTAGTTTTATGAATAGTATGCTATCATTTTGTTCATCTTCTGATGTAAAATCAATCGATGGATGAACGTTATTAAATATATTAAGTAAATTGTGCAGTTCCAATCAGATACAAAAGGAACTCAATAAAGATATTGGCTCATCGGGCTACAATGATTCGCTCCGAAGACACTACTGAAGAAGAACTGAATAACATTCGCAACCTACTTAGTATGAATGGGTATCCCATGAAATTCATCGACAAACATATGATGGAAAAGAAAACAAGGACAAAGATACCCACCGTCCCTAAGAAGGTATTATAATAATAATATTGTGATATTTTGATGTCCTACTATACAAATTGCGGACTGACACGTGTGAAATATCTGCTTATTATTCTGTAACACTGTACCAATTTGTTCATAGTGTAATAACCGTAAATTCAGGTGGGGTAAACCAATTTACTGTTTAGTGCAAAGTTACTGGGTGCTTTCATAAAATATGAAAACCATACATTAAATACATTATTTGAACATCCTCCTTCATTTGTTTTTGATGTACTTCATGATTCTTTGAATTCTGGTGTTAATAAAATAGCTCTATGTTTACCTTCCCGTTCACTTCAATCCAATCCTAACAAATCTTCTGCTGACAGGCGTTCCACTTTCGATTGCTTCTGCGTACTACTTATGTCTCTTAGCACAAGTAGCATACACCGTAATAGAATGATGTATCATTTCATTATGAAGCTTTGATTGAAAATCGTATCTTTACTTCTTCATCCTTAAAGACTTTACGTATGTACATAAATGTGTATTTAGTAACTGAATATATCTTGAAGTATTCTCAGCGACTACTGATTTTGAAAATCACCAGTATTTTTAATTGTTTCAACAAAATTAATAATACGATTCTCCAAAAAGCGATGCAAAACTGAAGTATTTCAATTCTCCTTTCAAAGAATCTATGACACCTATTTATATTTTATAATGACTTATACAACATTAAAAACAGTTTGATTAAAAACACACTCATTTGCATTTGAAATAATCCGTATACCAGTTTCATTTCATAATATTTATTGATATTAGTGATGCTCTTTAAGTTTGCTTATTGTGATTCTCGAATAAATTTGGTTATATTCAATAACTGCTTTGATTGTGGCTGTCGTGTCTGCATTCGATATTATTCATAGTTTAATTTATTACCCTATAAAAATCAACTGTTTATCTCAAAATTTCAGCTGTAGCGAAAATTTTATTCTTTGTGAATTTTTGTAGTCCTGTCTCACAAAACGTTTATTCTGTTTGTCTTTTTGTCCTTCCATGTTTGTAGATAATCACGTTTTTTTCAGATAATTTCTTAGTTTAATCCTATACTTTCAGTATAACAACGAAATCACAGTACTTTAGTTTTGTTCATTATTGAGGCATCAATAAAATTTTCTTAAAAAGAAAGCACAGTTAACTGATTTTCCAATGAATTGAATTCGATGATATTAATTTGATATGAAGGTGGAAATATATTTTATTATCTTATTGAAGGATTGACTCTGATAAATGTTTTATCCTATATTACTTTGTTTACTTTCTAATAACACTGTCCTGACTGTTGTTGCTACCTTGACGTGGTGGTCGAGTTTGCCTATCGTGATAAACCAATCGAGCTATACTGGCTGGAACAATCGTTCTTCAAGGTCCTACCATGCCAGACAGATTAGTTGAAGAACGGTAAGATAAAAAACAGCAAACCCCAAGTTCTGAGAGTGAAGTCGTACTGCTGACTGTACAGAGGTGTGACAGCAGTAAAGTGTTTCCGTCAGACAACGTGCATAACAGCGATACTGTCTTCCCACAAGGAGGGCTGGGGTTAGAAAAGGCCGACCTAAAAAAATGCACACCTCGCCTTATCTCACGGATGTTCGCCTCCGGCGGTAAGGTCTCAACAAGTATGCAGCTAACACGAAAACTACCCACAACAAAGGTCGTATGTGACCAACCTCAAGCAGTTGTCCCTTGGGCACTGCAGTCACACTCCCAGGTTACTAAGATCACCTCTGATCCAACTTCTTTTTCAAGTACCTCTAAAAAAAACCTTTCACGATGTGGGCAACCGGGAATTGATAATCGCCCTCATTCCTTTAACAGCACTCAAGACTGAACAATGTTTATATCCGGCTCTCGAGTAATTGTTCACGTGAGACAACTATTAAAAAGTTTGATAACCCAATCCTTGATCACAGGCTTCAATCGCTACAGAAACTAGATAAAATTATGATGTACTCTACTTATATCTGTCAGCACAAGTAAAATACATTACACTGGCTGCGACATCGATTGTATTAAACGAGACTTTTGTGTGGTAAACCAATTTATTGTTTAGTAAAATATGAAAATCATACATTAATTACATCATTTGTAAGTATCCTCTGAGTTTTACTTTACCTATGCCATTGTTCCTCTAATTGTATTGTTATTCTGATTGCTCTCCGATTTCATTTCTGCTCGCTCCAATCCAATCTTCTCCCAGATATTAAATTTTCGATTGCGGCTATATACTACTTATAACTGTCAGGATATGTAGCATACATCACAGTATCCTTTTTTCACAGATCATGTATGACTTAAAGTTTAATAATAGTTACATGTTAGTAAATATTCAAATTATACCGGTTTATTTATAATTGTCCATAATTAGTCAGTCGAATATTAGCAAAATAATATCGATCTTTATTATCCAAATAATTTGTCACTGTAAGAAGTGCATTTCACAAAGACAAGATCTCATTTAAGGACCAGAAATTCAAACACGTTCTTCAGGAATGTATTCAACTTGTTTAAATTTTCATTTAATACATATCAGAACAGAATCTTTAGATAACAATAATTTTATTCACATAATTCTAGTATGTACATGTTTAGCTAAGCATAAAAGTCTCATGATCTGTTTTCAATAACTATTTCATTTCCATTCCTTTATTGGTTGCTTCAATCTTCCCATTGATGTTTAGGATTGCGATTGATCAGTGTCTAATTGGCATATGTGCATCCTGTGCGGATCGCCTTGATAGTGTCTTAAATAACAAACATTTTAAGCAGAGATGGATTCAAACAATACAAAAATGAATTAAAACTTCAGCCCATTGCACAAGCTAGTGGCTATCTGGACTCAATAGCTTAGTGGACAACGCGGTAGCGTGTGAAACGAATGGTACTGGATTGGAGTCTTGGAGTGAATATCAACTCTGGGATATTTGTACATCCAGATGACTAGTCCCAAATAGGACGAAACGCGCGTCCTGGATTCCACTATTAGTTATCATCCATCTCTGCTTATTTTGTTTCATTTTCACTTCCACCCTTTTATAGTATAGTTTATTACATTGTGTTCTCTGATCATCTTTTTGAATAAAAACTAATTAAAAACAAAAAACGTTTCACTTTGTTGTAGTTAAGCATGTACAAAGCTTTTTGAAAAAGATTTTAATATTTTATCATAGATTAACTTTTAAGATAAGTGCATGTTAATATTTTCGATTTGCGTGGAAAGTAATATGACTTAGCGATGGACTTTTTTAAAAATTTATCTTTACAGTTTTAATCCTCATAATTAAATTAAATAATCTGGTTACTATTGATTTTATCTAAAGTGAATTGATAGTATTTCAGTGAACTAGATGATCATAGTTCTTCGTCCGATATCGATATTATTCAAGTTAACAACAACTAAATTTGACTTAATTTACAGATTACAAACTAATTATCTGGAAAGGTTTGTTGATTTCACCCATTCTGATACACTAACTCTATTTTATGATAATTTTGATTCTTTACTGATATCATTTGTTGATCCACTAGACAAGAGGTTAAATTGATCACCTATTGTGTCTTAATCTAAGGATCTGCATTAGTGCTCGTATTCAACACCTACAGGATTTAAAAACAGAACCTTCAAGTTTCGATGGGAACTCACTACATTTATACATATATACATAGAATTCAATGTTTTATGTGTCCAATATAAGTCATTTCGCGATATAACGCCGTTACTGTGGTTCACAATAATAGAAATCGAGGATTTCATCTAAGAACTATTCTGTAATGAACGTAATGTTATCATTTAGACAGTTGAGTTTCATTCTGGATTGACACCATCTAGAAATTTACTGATCACTGGCAAAATTATAAATTCTTCTTTCGGTTCCATATGCGGTCGCTGTTGCATACAACTTTATGACTTTAAAATAGGGCAAAACAGTTGTTTAGTGAAATGGCACACATCAAGTAGGATAAATTTATATCAATATTTTGCTTTTTCAAATATTTACAAAAAGTGATGAAATCAAATAAGTTAACATTTTAAAACTATAGAGATTAGTTCATGTACATTTTCCACCTTTTGATTGAAAGGTTGTTGGATTTCTAAAGCTGGGGTTTCTAATTTCATATTCTATTTTCTGCCATGTAAAACATTTAAACCCAACGGCTTGAAGCAAAATATAATCAATACGGTTCTCTTGTTAGCAATTTTATGACAAGGTTGAAATTGCTTTCTCACAACTCATAATCCTCTTCTGTAAACTAATTTAGGACTAATAGTAGCTCCAGAGGAGCTGCAGTCGGAGTTAATGGATACGGTAAGTGTTTATAAGTGACTGACCACTATCCGCCTTATGGTCCATTCGAAGTGGATATGTTTATTCTGTAAATTAGTCAGTTCGTATTTTGTAGAAAACTGATTTCTCTATTACGTTGTGGTACTTTGCCTTTATTTTTTATCTTTTTCTGCCTGTATGTCATTCTTCATTGTTTTACTTTTTGTTTTTCACTAACAGAATTCAAAACTTCCATTTTCATTTGCGAAATTTCTACTAGCTTGGATTAGTCGTGAATTATTAGTCTATGTTGTTTTTATTATTGCTCTATCTAATCCATGGCGCATTAAATGGGGTAATTACACTTATCGTATTAATTTTGGTGGATTAACTCAACGTTTATCATCTAATAGTACAGTTATCAATCATTATACCAATGGCGATTTCATGAAAATAAATACGGACGTTGCATCTTATAATTATAAACCTGTGTTTTGTGGTACATCAATAGATGTGCAGAAAGTATTCAAAAGGCGTACAGTTTCAGAAAATATTCACATGCAAGATACAAACAGAGTTTTAGATGAATTTCGTGATGAAAATAGGTTTGATTGTTTAAATGATGAAATCATCAATAATTCTCAACCGGAAACTCATTTGTTTTCATACACAACGATGGGAGTATCACCTGTCATCCATGATAATAGTAATGGTAATAGAAACATTCCTTTCCAAGTTAATTCTGGTAACGTAAACGATATACTAAGCAGTAGCATTATTGATAATTTCCCTCCCACCAACTTTATCAACAAAGCGGATGTAAAACTCAACGGATCCAATAATGAAGCAATTCAGGTTAATACATATATTGATAATTATACTAATACCCTTGATAATAATAATGGAATCAATAACAATGGTGTCAGTAGTAACAGTAATGGGTTATAGTCACAAATAGCTAGTTTGTGAAATATTTGTTTTACCAATTACTGAATCCATTACTCTTTTAAATCAATTGTAATACTGTCATAATATAAGTTTGTAATCGAAAAATTATAAAAGAGGAAATTTTTCTAACTGTCTTCATATATTCACGCCCAACATACGCTATGTGTTTTGAAAAATGCTCTTGTTATTGATCTAAAGCATAGGAGCTTTCGTAACTATAATTTTCCCCAATAATTGTAGAGTTATCATACTTTAGTTCATTTCGATTGATAGATTAAACTCATTTTTTCACAAATAAATAGTTCATGTTCAATACTCAATTTTATTTCTGATGGAAAAAATCATTGTTTTTTTCATCTGAGATTTCTCTCCGTTACCTTTTTTACTTAAACGTGAATATCAGTTGAGTTTTATATCAAAGTTTCGTTTACCTCTCTATCTGTATATTATTGTCTATCAGCCTGTCTATATTCCCTTGTTTATCAGAGTAATATATAATTCTAGATGTTATATTTAGTGCAAATAAGTTTTCATATCAAATGATTCCATTTTTGATACTTTGTAAAAATGTATGATTAAAAGAAACAAGGAAGCTACAAAATGAAAGAATTACATTTCTTACAATGAAATTTAACCAATTTATCAAACATATATATATGTACATACATTCCCCAATGTATTTCTATATTATTTCTGTACATAATTTTCCTCTCAAAATTAATTACAATGTCTCTTTTGAGATGTATTATGTTTTATACTTTGTGCCTGCATTCCTAATAAACACGTTTCCATGTGAATTTTTTGAAGTGTTCCATTTTTTTTCCCTAGAAAAGATTAATTCAACATATTTTAATTCTATTCATTTCATTATTACTACCTATATGAATAGGTGTGTTTACTTTGAACTAACTTCTATCATCAATATTTTAACTGTTCAATTATAGTAGCGAGATTTCACCAGTAATTTATTATTATTATTATTCTATTGACATTGTGTAAATGAAAATTTATCTACACAGATCACCATCAAATTGATGTGCCAATATCACATCTGCTCAAAATGAAATGTGTTGTGCAATCATTAGTTCTTCGAGAGAAAAATGTAGATTTTTTGTTAAGTTAAAATTATTGTTTTATTATTATTATTTTCTTTTTGCTTTTTTTTCATTTAATTTGATAACATTCAATTCAATCAATTAAATTGATGAGTGCCAAAACATGTTTTTCCCTTTTAAATTTAATTCTCCTCTGCATAATTTATACCACAAAGCACAATGGATAAATGTTTTCAAACTAACTTATTCTTGCTATTAACTGGAATTCTTCATATTTCCTATTATTTATTGTTATTTCTTATCTGTGATTGTAATGTAAAACAATTTGATTTATTCATTATATAATGATATAAATTGCTTTATATTTAATAGTCAGTCAGTCAGTCAGCTACAATGTAGGACCAGGCACATATGTGCATCGGTCCAAGTTGCCATACCTCAATAACACAACAAGATGGACACCGGATTCATAAAAGTAGTTAATTCAGAGATGGTAATATATAAAAGAAAGATTGCAATAAGGATATAGTACAGGAAGAAAGAATTAGTTCGTAGAGAGAAAGATATGAAGCGATTTTAATCTCTTAATTTAAGGGAAGACAGAGAGTGTATACACCGACGCCATTGTGATCGATTCTGAGCCATGTCACCAAGAGTCTCCAACCATTAGTTACGATTGTCAGTAACATTGAATAAATTGTTTTGTTTTGTTTATCAAACTTCGTATACAAATAAGTATATAATTATAATATTCATTTTATTGAGAACTATATATGTTTGGTATTAAATAAATAAGTCTCAATAGTAAAATAATAGATTGTTCAAAGAAATTTCAAATGGACTATACACTTGCATTGTAACGTTCCAACAATTAGATCATCTTTCATAAATAGTCAAATCTGTCCTTATAATGCTTATTTTATGGCATCATTGTTATGCTAGTTAGTCAAGCGTAATTAAGGTACTGTCTGACAAAAATGTACGTTTTCTGTAGTTGGTATACCACATTAGGTCTATGAAATTAAATTAATAAGAGTATAAATAATATGATAGCGATAATAGTAAGAAAGAATAAACAATAAGAACATATTTGGAGAATGAGGAGTGAAAAAGTATGTATAGAGGAATATTGAATCTGAATATCTGAAGGAGCGTAAAAATTTAGCCCATCTTAACCTTTGTGACCAATTCCATGCTATGTCATCCAACAACTTCACTAGTTAGAGTTGTCGCGCATCTTCCAACCAGCCAGTTTGCGTCCATTAATATGGCTCAGATTAACATTTAGTGACTTGGTGAACTAATAATATGGCTTATCTTTGCTGCTTCAGTATTCTTCCAGCTTAATTTTATACCGGTTAGCAATGCGCGTCAAGGTAGATGACGGTCAAGCATACGTATTACATGTCATAAACCCCCAGTCACAATTCGAGGGGCGGACTTATCGTATTTACCTATTATTCATTTTCATACCCCAGCACTGATTACTGTTTCTTCACAATAGGTGAGGTATATCATGAAAACAGCTATGATTAAAAAGATGGTTTTTGTTTCGGTTTGGTGTGAAGAACAAATGTATTAGATAGATGTGAATTAAATCGCATCTGACTGAAGAAATTTCTGTCCGATACAGACGTTTGTTTGTTCACAATAAACATAGTAACTGGATAAAACAATCAAGAATTAAAGAAAATTTCGAATTGGGATAACGCTAAGATGTACCATTTATATCTAATTTATAATTAATCAGTAATTTGAATTCCATTACACATTATAGTTCTTTACACAATGCCTACAGAGACAGACATTTCAATAAATTAAGAATGACTATGAATCACATTTTTATTATAAAAGTAAACGTTTTATGGTCACGTTAAAGGAAGATCGCATATTTAACGACGAGATTTTATCACGGGATATAAGCTCAAACCACTATATTTTACAGGATGTTATTATAATTCATAATAACAATAATGATAGTAATATTGATTTGTAATGTTCGAGTTTCACTTTTTCCGATTTTGTTATGAAACTAATAATTGTCAAAATTTATTGTAATAAAGTACTCCTAAAGTACTTGGCCTTATGTTAGCGAGGATTTTACTAAAGACTTTAATCACGTTTGATTATTGACGAGGTCGTCAAGTGCGTTAATTGCAGAGGTTTAAGAGAAAGAAAATTATCATCAAGTAGAATATCCTATTTTTAAAATATGTATAGTGCATTGTACAGTCCGGCTCGGCAACTAATGCTTACGGTGGAGAGGGAAAATGCGACCTGCTATATGCTTTATGGTTAGACGGAAAGACAGTACAGCCGTTTCATAATGATATTTGCCGTGATCGACACAGATGCACTGGGATTCAACCTTCGCCAGATAAATAATTTAGATGATGAACCGATCACATCAACAATCTCAACAACCCTATACTGACAGATAATTCACTTATTAACATTAGGTTGATTACACCTGAACTTGGAACAGCATGTGGTTCGTCAGGGCTTGCCTGACATAGGAACTTGTGATTCAGGTAACATTGTATTTCATTACTTTCGGATCATTTCAAATTCTAATAGATTGGTGTTTATGTTGAAGGAGTTTGACTTCTCTAAGTGTACGTTACCGAATAGTATCATTTTAACGAATACTGCAAATAATACTAACTACAATAACAAACAAATCTTTCTCAAAAACAGGAGCCATCTGGTCTTGAACAAAATTAATCACTCCTGAGTTTCAGATTCCCATATAGACATTCTGTAAGCGTTTTACCAAGTACCATAATTTGATTTCTATGAATAATTAGAAAATTTCTATGTGCATAGTCACTATTAAAAGTAATATTTGGTTCTCGATTTATATTTCGTTCAATTCTGAAATCAAAGTTAACTGCAATATTTATGTTACAAATTGTTTTTACGACCAAATTAGTTTAGCGATATTCATCAAACCAGTATTTATTATACTAAACGGTAAATGTAAATCGAATGTTAAGAGTCGTTTATAGAGTAATACCAAATATGCTGTTCATTTTTTACAAAATAGTCTTGCTGAAAGAATTTTCAACCCAATTATTGATCTATTCTGTTCATAATCATACAAGTTTAAAACAATTCAATTATTTGTTCCCAACTCTAAACAAAGCCGCTTTTTAAATGTAATCAATGCATGATCGTGCTTTTATAATCAAAGTGAACTGATTTCTCAAAATATCCACACTAAATAGATCTTTATCGGTGTGAAAGGATGTAGGTCACAGCTTTAGCTGGCTTCTGTAGGATGTAATAATACGATTACTGTCTGTGCTTTATTCTCATTTCCTCTGTTCAACTTGTATCTGCCACTTTGAGATTATTTTCTGACTCACCTTTAACATATACATGAGTTTTACAATCACAAAGAATCATGATCATTTTCACGTAATGATAAACAGCAATTTGTATTATTATTATTTATTAATATTTTTGAACACAAAAATATTGGTACAAGAGGGCACCAAATATATATGCCCCACACTAAACAACGAATTCGAAGAGAAAACAGAAGGTAAGGAGCGTAAAAAAAGAACAATAACGAACAGATTAGTGTAAGGTTGTGTAATAATAGTAATAATAATAATAATAATAATAATAATAATAATAATAATAATGGGGGAAACGGAAAGGTACAATCAGAAGAAATCTCTCAGTTAAGGGAGAAACAACCACTTTTTATGAAGAAAGTAAAAGAAGGTTACAGCAGGATCGCCACTGGCTTCTATTCTGAGCCATATCTGATAACGTCTCTAGCCACTGTGTCATACCACCTCTCAGACCCCAACCAGGGAGTCGTGAAGGGCCAACAAGTCAGTCCTTTGCAGCTTTCTTCCATACTACGACACCATATAATACACTGACCACCTCTCCTCCTTTTCCAACCAGTCCAAGCCCTTGAATGCCCTGGTATGGCCGAGAGTGGGGTGTGCTCGCCCTCCCTCTAGAAATGCTTTCACACGGCCAAGCGTATACAGCCTCTGCCAGGGAAGTCCTACTCACTGGCTTCTCGTGGCGGGGGTGTTGTTTACGAAAATGAGAGGACGAAAAGAGAATGTCCGTCACTTTAACCGGATCACAAACCAATGGTGCACATGGGCTTCAGTATCCTGAGGGAACAAATGGCGTATGAACCTATTGTTGGTCACCGACTACCATGGGATTGCATCTCCTCACGATGCTCCACTTCCTTGTGGGTCAGACCTTTAGGTCAAAGGGTCGGGGTGTGCCCCCCTACTTCGGTTTGAGCACTCGGGTAGTATCACAGCCCACACACAAATATGATGAAATTTCGATATTGATGGAAAATACTTGTTTTCCTTCGATCAACAATCAAACGATTCACATTATTATTATTTACGTCATTTATTCACTCTTTTATTCCCATTTTATGTATCCTTATTTTTCGACTTATACAGCAGCTCGGCTATGGTGGAAACTCGGTCCTGTCTAAACGTTCTCGAGTCAATGCCTGGTTGGAAATTGTATGCTACCACCAAATATGAATATTGAAGCAGTTTTTCTGAAACCAAGTGCACCATTCAAATTTGTATTCACTGTTTGGAAATACAAACTATCCTATTTAATTGTGCTGAAATGGATATATTATCCTGATAAGTTATTTATTGTAGATGTCTTTTTTAGGAAAATCGAAAACATGGGGATTATATTAAAATTGTAGTAAATGATTGCCCTTGAGTATGTATGAAGAAATGTTTGATACAAAGGAAAATAAGGAAAAAACTGTCGAAAAATCCTATGCAAGGTGACCAATGACCCTCAGTAATTTCATTTTATATGTAATAATTAGTCAGTAAATTACCATTACACCGTCACGATATTTATGACTTAAATCAAACTGCTTATGTAGTATGGAAGATTACAAGAAACAATCTGGTACGATTGTTTTCTGGTGTGTATACTTGGGTGCTAAGGAAAGTCGAACCAGTGCCAGGATACACCAACCTTATTGGTATGTGCCAATCAGCCAGTTATTTTGTCTACTTCATAAAATTCCTACACATATTGTCGATCGCTCGCTATCAGTGAGTACCACTGCTTCTCAATGTGTAGATGATTGTAAGCGAATGCATAAATTGATTATGTTTTAAGAGAATAATAATATATTATCATAATTTAATCAGTTATGTTATAAAATTTGCGGTCCATTTATTTTATGACAGCCGAAAAAACATCGCTTGACTTCTTAATGAATAAATTATCAGACTCTGAATGTCTATTTAGCTAGTTTTCGTATATTACAATGAGGATGAAAGGGTTGGTGAATCCCAAATTTGTGGGTTTATATTGAACATATTCATATCGTA